AACATGGGTCCCGATCTAGAATGTTTTAGGAGTGGGGGGATCAGATGACCAGGGAAGCAGAAGAGTAGAAGGAAGGCCCAGGGAGATCAGATCACACCTGCTTGCCAACCATTATGAAAATGTTTCAGTCTTCATAACCAGGGTGGCTACATCTCAGAGATTGCACAGTGAATCAGAGATGGAGTTAGGGCTCTAATTTAGATCTTAATTTCCTGAGGGGAAAATCTATAACTCTTTAACTTTACTAATAGTCATAAGTTGCTGTCCTTGAACAATGATCTGAATGATCTTCAATGAGTAAAAAAATCAATTATTTTAACAGAACTTCTTGCTTAATTGAAAGCTTTCCATGGCAATGAAATAGTAGTCATTGCATAACTGATAATGGAACCCAAAAATGTATAGTCAGCCCTCCGTATCCATGTCTCTGTGGATTTAATTGACCACATATGGAAAACTTTAGAGGAAAAGAAGAAAAGAATGGCTATATTTGTATTAAACATGTATAGACATTTTTCTTGTCATTGTTCCCTAAACAATATAAAATAACAAGTTTTCACATAGCACTTATATTCATTAGGTACTATATATAACTTAGAGATATATTTAAAGCATAATGGAGACTGTGCACAGGTAAGATGCAAATATTATGACATCATATATGAAGGGCTGTGTATCTGTAGATTTTGGTATTGCAGGGGAGGGGGTCCTAGAACCACTTTCCTATGGATACTAAGATAAGACTGTACTTATTTTTATATATATCTTTCATGGTCTCCAAAATAAGAAGTGCCAAAGCTATCTGGTTGTTTTTTTCTAATATGTTTAAGCAATTTATTCACCAAAGTAGACTGTTCTGTTAGATTAATGTTCTTTTTAGATAATTTCCACATAAATTTTGGAATCACTGCAGATACTTATTAAGATAGGAGGTAGATTGCAAGAAACCAATTCTCAGGGAATGGGTTTTTGAGGAACCCATATTTGTTTATAATATTCTAGTTTGTCAATGAGCATTTAAAAATGAAAATTCCGACATGCATGATTAGTTACAATAATGTTCTTTGGTTCTCCCTTTGGACTGATAAAGCAAAATCCCCGGCTTATGTAACATGGTACCTTGCTTGTAAATTTGTGAAGGAAGCTCCTTTTGTTGACAGTTCTCATGTCCGCCATCTGTTTGCAAGGGATGAAGCCCTGGCACTCCTCTAATTGGCCATAAATTAGGCAGAAGCAGCAGGGTTTTGACAGGATCCTTCCTGTTACAGGTTTTTTTTGTTTTTTGTTTTTTTTTTAAGCTGTGAATTCAACATTTAGAGGGAAGCCCAGCCTCTCTCTTAAGGGTGTAGAGCTAGACTCAGTGAGTTCTTAGATTCTCAAGCTACCTTCTCTGTAGCTGTGCTTAAACCCAGATCTCTATCACCATTCTTGTCTTTCTATATCGCTGAAAAGAAACTCACTCTGATCAGAAAGAAAAACCACTAAATCCAAGGTCATCCTATGCCTTCTGTAAAAAGAGGGAAGACATGGTTATTAAGGGCTGGCTACATGTGCTATGCTGTGCGCAGACTTTTATGTATGTTAAACTGTTTGGTTTTTAAACTAATTTTATAACTTGGGTAATATTATTGCAGTTTGAAGACAGGGAAACTAGAACTCAGAATTTAAGTAATTTTCTCATTAAATGTTGCAGTCAAGAGTTAAGTATTGAGCCTCATTTGACAACACCTATTCACTATATATGACTAGGTTTGGAAAAAGAGAGAAAATAAAATTATGATGAGGGCAAAAGCAAGTGTGTTGATGTGACTTTCTGCTTTCCTTTTGCAACCTAAGTTTATGAAATGCAGGAGTCAGACTGGATGACCCACAAAGTCCCACCCAGTAATGTTCTCTGTTGTTACATTAATCTGGGCTCTACCATTTAACATGAAATTGAAGTTATTAAGCTTCAATGAGCTTCAGTTTCCCCTTCTGTAAAGTACTCTATCTACTTTCCAAGAGGGATCTCATAGATGTGAGAATTCATAAATTATAGACGTCTGTAGGGATGTAAGCTGCTGTGATGACCCATCCACCCACAGTCAGCTGACAATGTTCAGCCCCACTCTCGGTCTTCTGCAGATGTCCTTGCTTCATGCTTTAGAGGCAAGATTAAGTCCATCTAAGTTCCCAAAACTTTCCTTAACTACATCTCAACATTTTAGTACAAATTTTATACCTCCCCCATTCACCATTTTAAGAAAATAGGTATAGAAATGCATGCTAAGTAACTGTTCCTCGTTTCCCCAGAATCTCCTCTCCGACAAGCCTTTTCCTTTTCTTTTATTTAAGGAAAGCATGGAACAAAGTTTATTAAAGAAGAGAAAGATAGGCTTACAAAATAAGAAAACTTACAAAGCAGGGTGCATTTGCCACAGCCAGGGAACGGACCTCCATTGCCAGGGTGAGCAGGCAAAGGGGTCTTGGGACCCTATTTCCATCAAATGCTCTCTTCAGTATTTCATTTGCTCCATTTTCCTGGAGACTCGTATACTCTAGACTCATCATAAGGAAATTCTTCAGAATCCCTACTAGCGCCTCATGCTCCTTCCCTCTTCCTTTTCTCCCTTTCTCTGTCCAAATTTCTGGAAAGGAAACGTCCTGTGGGCACAGTGCCCTCGCCCTCTTTGCAAGCACTCACACTTTGTAATCTGGATTCCGTTCTTACCACCTGAATAACCTCAGTAATGTTTTTAATAACCTCAGTAGTGTTTTCTCCCAGGTTACTAAACCTGTTGCCCTTTTTTCTACCTGCATGTCTCGTGGCTTTTTTACGCGTAACACTGAGATGATCTCTTTTCTCATGAAACATGCTCATGGTTTCCGAGGTCCCCTACGCTGTTCTGATTGTTAACATCTCATTATTTTTCACTGGTTTTTCGTTCCCTAACTCATAAATGAAAGGATTGCCCCAGATCTGACCTTGGTCTTTTTATCTTCTCAATTCTCTCTTGCGATTCCATCCTGGGTCATAGCTTTAGTTGTTAACTATGTGTAGGCAATTTTTAAGTTAATTTTAAGTTAACTCTAACAAAAGTCCCTGTCCCACATTTCCCATCTCCTGCAGGGTATTTGTTCAGGAGCAGCCAATATTGTAAGTTAAATCCATTACATTCTTTATGGATTACCGCTGTGCCTACCAAACGGACTCATCTATATTCCTTCTGCATTTTTTCTATTCCACCTACATCCCTAATTTCTCCCTTGCTTTTCATGTTCACTCAGATCTTAGGCCTCTGGGTTTACCTGTTCATTCGTAGGCATTCCTCCTGTAAATGGTCTCATAATCCCCAACTGGATTTAGACTCTTTTTTTTTTTTAATTTATTTTTTATTAGATCATAATTGTGTACATTAATTCTCAGCTATACTGCCTCTTATCTTTCCTTCTAATTCATCTTACACTGAATTCTTTGATTAGTCTACTAAATACATTGTTACAGTGATACCATTTTACTACTTAAAAGTGTCAGAGTTGCTCTTATGCCAACATTCAGTGTTCTCAGTGACCCAGCCCCAACACGCTTGTGAACTTGTCTGATACAACACCTCTTCTTTCCACAGCCTCACTCCAACCATTGAAACGGTGACAATTTCCTTACAAGTATTGCTCAGCATATTCACTTTATTTATATTGCCTTTCCTACACTTTCAGATCCAAAAGCCATTTCTTCTGTGAACACTTCCCTGATTCTCCTTTAAAGTAGTCACTCCCTCTTCCGGATTTGCAAATTCATTCTGAACTCTTCTTACTTCTGCCTGGCATGATGGTTATTATTATATGTGCCACATTTGTATTAGAAGCTAATCCCCAAACCAACAGCTATGCTGGTCCTTTGATTCTTCTAGCACAATGCCTCATACATGGTGGGTCCTCAAGGAAATGTAAGTTAAATTAAAGAAAGAATGAAAGGACAATTGTTGTTCCCGAGAACCAAAGAATTTCTTTTTGAGAAACATTCATGAATGTTACCAACATTTTGCGGGTATGGCACTGTTCTGGTTCTAGTGATCCAGCATGGAGGTTTATGATTCTCAATGTGAGGTTTATGATTCAAGTAGGATCCTTCTCTACCCAGATCACCTGAGCTCTGCTGTCAACTCTATCATTCTAGGCTGGTGATAACTGGCCCTGCAGCTTCCTTTCACACTAATATCCACTGCCTATTATTCCAACTACAACTGCTCCTTTAAAATGGGGTTTTATAATTCTTCTCCTTGGATAAGGCACTTGGCTTTTCTGATAAATTTATCCACATATATTGCAATGTGAAAAATTCTGGTTAACTATTTCCAAGAAGTACATATTCATTTTAGCCGTGTTCTTGCAGAGTCATAAATCTGATTGTGTTGCCCCTTACTGTGTTCATGTAATGAAAACGGCAAGCCAGAACTGGAAAAAGAAACCGGGATTGGCTTTATCAAATAAACATCTAGGTATGTCTAAGTCTAGAACTAATGCTTTCTCCCAAAGTATCTTCCTGAAATAATTGTATCATAAAAGCCTGGAAATAAGAGAATGAAAGAGCTAAGCATATTCACATAACAGTCCATTTCTTAATCATAACAAAGATAATGATGATTCTAAAACTTTTCAAAAATAACTAGCACTGGTTGAGTGCCTCCTGAGGGGAAGGCATTTGGATAAATGCTTTCCTCGCATGTCCTCGCTAATCCTCAAAATATCCCCATGATATTGCATTATCCCCAGTTTACAAATGAGTTAATTGAGCTGAAGCTCATAATAATTAAGTGCCTTGTTGAAGATCACAAAGCTAGAATGGAAGAGCCAGCCGTTTCCAAGGATAATAGGGAACGAGCAGCGAGTACAGAATTCGTTTCAAAATGAAAAGATAGAATACAAGTCTTAACAGGGCCATGAAATGATGTGTAATTCCAGGCACTTATGTGTGTTGCTGATAGGAACGTGCAGTGTGCATAATGAAACGATGCACTTACTCTCTGTCAATCACAAGGCAGGTCACAGCTTCGGCGGCAATTACGTTTGCTGTTCTCACATCTTCCCTATAGGAAAAAAATAGAGACGTTGAAGTAAAATAACCTTTAATATCAAAGAAAAGTATTCATTGTGATTGATTCAGAACACACATTAAATTATGCAACAATTCTGATTTATCCACTTCCAGGTTTACGCTCTGTCCATGTCAAAAACCTCTTTTTCATGAAGAACCACCTTACCCTTGTCACTGATCATACAAATCCTACACTTATAATCTAATGGATAATTTTAAAGTTTGTACAATCTAAATTTTAAAATCATAAAGTTTTCAAATTTAAAGTTTTACTTGAAATTTTACATCGTAATCCATGTTGTTCTTTGAAGGATTAATGGATTAATTGGATGATAAAGATCAAATCAACCTGAATGGATGAAATATTTTTAAGGATTTAAAGTTATTGTCCTAGAAACTGATTATCTAATTCATGTGTATATGAATTTGTCATTACATCCTTGAGAACAATGGATCTATTTGAATTATTTACTTATTTCATAGACCTTGTTTTTATGTGGCGAATATTTTGCCAACTTATGGTATCCAATTATTCATCTCTGTCAAAGCTTATGGTTCTTCAAAAATATTTGAAAAATCTTAGTCACACCAATTGAAATATGTAAATACTGTCTCTTAAGAACCATTAAATTCATCATGTCATTGGGTATCTATCAACCTCCTAACCTTTTGAATAACTATCCTGGAGTCTTGTGTTTGATCCAGTAGTCAAAGGTGGATTTGGTAAGTAGACATTCACCATTCATTTTCGGCTATTAAAATTTAATAGTACCACTGTCATGGTGACATTAAATTGTATTTGAAAATGTCTTCTTTTTCCTAAAGTAACAAAATATCTAAGGCAATGTAATTGATGATAAGTTTGAAATATCTTAGCTAGGTACACAGGAAACAATATAGGAATAACAATACACTCTAAAAATGTATTATTATATTATCTATAAAAGTAATTCTGGAGGGCTCAGAGGAAAAGTCACAAAACATCACATTTCAAATAAGTCTCTTGAAGTCCTGATAATAAAGATGTTCTTAGTGAATTTTTATATTTTGAAAATATAAATTCTAACATACACTTCTGACCTCTGTGATTTTTATCTCTGGTCTTTGTTTTCCACTGGTGCTAAGATTGCAGTTGCTTTACAGTAGCTATTAGTATTTAGACCTTGGTAAAGCAAGTTCCCCCCGGCTAAAATTCTTTTTCAGGAATAGCTTGATGATATTCTTGAGCACTTATAACTTTTGAGAAATATATGGATGATATTCTTAAGCATTCATTATTTCATATAGGCTTTGAAAAAACATTTTCAACTTCTAAAACAAAAAAACTACCTTGGGATTCTGGTAGAGCTATACTACATTTGTATATTGATATCATAAGAACTTTCTGATCATATTAATGTTTCCATTCAAGACCATGGCAAGACTTTCTACTTGTTCAGATCTAGTTTCATGCCTTTAAATAGGATTTCATAATTGTTTTCATCTGGGTCTTGACATTTTTTTTTAAAGTATTCTCAGGTGATTTTTTGTCATGTTTCTCTTCTAAGTGACATTTTTATTCATTTATTTCTCACAGATTGCCCTATTTTTTTAAACGCTATCAATTATTATATATTTTTTTCATCCACCAACTATGCTGAATTCTCTTCTGACTCCCAATTTTTCCTATGGTCTCATGAACAGCCAGTATGATGCTCTTAGTGCCTCCCTCACATTCTGTGCCTTCCAGTCAAACCGCCCGGCTTTCCACACACATCGTCTCCTCTTGCCATGAGTTCTTTAAAACATGATTTCCCTAGGCTAGGAAGTTCCTTTCCAATCCTTTATTTAATTCACTCCTACTTACTCCTTAAATTTCAGCTGAATTGCCCCTTCCTGGTGGCTGCCATCCTGAATGAATGAGGCCCTTTCCCTATCTATCTGTTCTCATGGCCCTACATACCTCTCCATAGGACACTTATCACCATTTGTATTTTATACATTTATTTGTGTGATCATTTGCTTAATGACTCTATCTCCTTCTCACTAAGTAATACGAGGGCAGGGACTCAGAAGGGACGTGAAGGAAGGGGACTCGAGGGTAATAGATAAAAGTCTGGCCTGTTGAACGAGGAACTCTGGAGGCCTCCTGGGAAGATTCACCAATCAGCAGTTCTCACCAAAAAAGAGAAAAGAATGTGGATATGGGGTAATCTTGGTAACCAATGACTAGTAGAGGAGGCCAATAATCAATGAGCAACAGAAGAGCAACAATTCCTGGAGGAGCAGAGAAGCCAGTGAAAGAGCTGCAGCCAATCTCGAACGCAGAGGATGAGGGTGTTAATACCTTGGCACTGCCTGTGCATCTCTCCCTCTGTCCCACTATCTCTTTTCATTCCAACTCTCTACAGAAGTGCTCTACACTTTCTCTCTGTTCTTAAATAAAATTTCTCTTTGTTACACTGAAGTGTGTGCAGCTTACTTTCACTATTGATTCTCACCATGCCTCAGCTGAACTTTCTAGTTGGGCCAAGTAATCAAACCAGGTCAGTTGGGTCCAGGGAACCCGGCCCTTCCACTCCCAACAGGGACTGTGGCTAATTTTGTTCCCTATTTTATCCCAAATGACATACACAAAAAAAGGTGTTTTGTAAGCATGTGCTGTAGGAATGGAACAGGCATTAGCCAGGGGTTCTCAAACTTTTTAAACAGGGGGCCAGTTCACTGTCCCTCAGACCATGAGAGGGCCAGATTGCAGGCTCCAGGACCAGTCGGCTGCTAAGCAGGACAGGCAGCAGTGGCAAAAAATACCTGGCAGGTGGGATAAATGTCCTTGGCGGGCCACATGTGGCCCGCGGGCCGTAGTTTGAGGATGCCTACTAGCCTATTGCTGAGCCCTGGGGTTATAAGGCAGAGTTCAGGTTTGGGAGTCACACTATCTTAGTGTTAAACCCAGTTCCACTACTCCTAAGCTGTGGGAAAGCTTCAAATTCCTCATCTATAAAATAGAAATGATAAAAGTACCCACTCAATGTGTGGTATTAAATGCGATTATCAAAGATAAGTCCATCATAGTGCCTGGTGCCTAGAAAGAAGTGTGCTCTGCTGTCCTAGTCCTTCCAGCGTCTGACTCTTCTTGTCTCCCACACCAGCACGCCCATCCTTGTGGAGGCTCTGTCTGGTATTTTATAAAATACTTCTACCCAGAAACAAACAGGGCATAGTCGCAATGCTTCACAGAAGGAAAGGATGTATTCTCACTTCATTATGACTTTCCTTTTTTTTTTTGAGGCAGAGCCTCAAGCTGTCCCCCTGGGTAGAGGGCTGTGGTATCACAGCTCACAGCAACCTCTAACTCCTGGGCTCAAGCGAGTCTCCTGCCTCCGCCTCCCAAGTAGCTGGGACCACAGGTGCCCGCCACAACGCCCGGCTATTTTTCGGTTGCAGCCGTCATTCTTATTTGGCAGGCCTGGGCTAGATTCAAACCCGCCACCTTAGGTGTATGTGGCTGGTGCCTTAGCCACTTGAGCCACAGGCACCAAGCCTCATTATGACTTTCTAAGTGGGAATTATTGGTGAAATAACCAAACAGGCAGAAAACCTCCACAGTGCCCACTGGGTCCCCACATAACCATTAGGATGCTGTTCATGGCGGTATAAGTTACTACAAATTACTGCTAGTCAGAAACAAGCAAATACAGAACAATAACAAACAAAATCCACCCCAAGCATCACAGCTTTATGGAAAGAATCATATTAACTCTAGCTCTTTCTAAAATATAGTATTTTTTATCTTGGCTATTTAGAAATTACTCAAGGTCTTTAAAAGTTTATATATATATAAATATAAATATAAATATATATATACACTTCATTGCTTCTTTTTGAATATAGTTTTGTACACATTGACTTTTAAAAATGTATTCATCATAAATTTCTACTACTTTACAATTTTATCGTATTATCTGGCCTAAATTGGATACACTTTTAAAATTAAATGCCATTTCCTTGCAACAAAAAGGACACACTTGGATATTTTAAGATACAGATGGTGAAAAATTGAAGATCAAAAGTGGGATATTAGTCAATAGACATGGAACATATTTTATTTTAGAAAGGATCGTTTATAAGTATAAGCTGAACTCAGTCACTGGACTATTAGAAACCTCATAAAGTGATATATATTAAAACTAAAAAGCATAGCATTGGAGGAAAAACGTTATTTATTAAATAATAAATTTATTACTAATAAATTATTTATCATTTATTGAGCATCTAGTCTATGTCAGAAAGCATATTACGCAGTTCATTTTGTTTACTACACACAACAAAGGGTAGTTATTTTATTCTAGATTCACTCATGGGGATAGAGATTATGTAACACATTCAAAGTCAGACATAGCTGCTGAGTTGCAGCCCAGGAATTTGAACACAGATCTGGCTGTCCCCAAAGTCATGTTCTTTCCACAACAGTACACTGCTTATATCCCCTGCTATCAGATTTTAATCCAATAACAATTCTAAATGCATTAAAAATGCAGAATAACTTCTGATCACTAAGTAGTCATAAAGTCTCTATCACTATGAGAAACAGATTTAATTATTAACAAAACCAGCACTAATGTATTTATGGGTGTCCAATTGTAAAACTAATCTGATGAGTCATTTTGATTCTTAAATTATAAGAATTTCTATCTATGACTATGTGCCTGTTATGTTGCTTGTAACAGTGTTACATAACAATAGGAAATTATTTAATGACAAGCTCACTGGATGCCAAACTCATGTTGTCATTACACTCATTTTATTTCTACTATTAAGGTGCTTCGTGTCTTTATTCTTTCCTATGAAAGTGTCTAGAAATACTTTTCTTATGCAGAGAGGCTGCTCCTGTGAGATAAAACGCTAGCTGGCTCTCCCTCTCCCTCTCTGTACATATATATATGTTATATTTATAGGCTTATATATGCCTGTGTATATACACATATGTCAATACTAGTGTTATTATATGCA